TCTGCTCCAGACAATTTCAGTCCTCTACCTAAAAAGAAAAAAAAACAACCCAGACTCTTTTCATATGACATCATACACCAGTTAGTAGTGCTGAGTCTTCTTTTTCTAAATAATCTTGCTAAATAACTCTTTTCCAAATAATCTTTGATAAGTCTTACAAAAACTTTAGAAAACTTTGCTTCTGGATAAGGTAACAAAGAGGATTTACTCTTTTCTAATATAAAATGTATCTTTAAAATTATGCAGAAGAAGATTATGAAGAACAGTAATTATTAAGATACAGGAAGTAGAGGAGATGGACCCAATATTTGTTTTAGCAGATTGTCTGTGGAGATTTCCAGAGCTTATGCATTGTAGGTTAAGTTTGTGTGTGTGTGTGTGTGTGTGTGTGTGTGTGTGTGTGTGTGTGATTGTGTTTGTGTAATATATCTGGGTGGCATATGAAAAAAAAAACATTAGTGCCTTCCCCTAACATCAGGAACAAAGCAAAGTTGTCCAGATAATCAGTTTTGTTGGACAATCTGCTAGATGTCCAACTATTCGTCAGTAGGTGGATGAGTGGAAAACTTCTGGGACATCTATATACTAAGATAATACTCTGAAAAAAATCCAATGGTATATACAACTCCAAGAATAAATATATGAAAAAAAATATATATATAAAGTCACATACAAATAGTTCATAACGTCATAAGTACCACTCTGCTCATCTGTTATTCTAGAATATATAAACTCAGTTGTGGTGAGAGGAAAGCTGTCAAGGATTTGAGAAAAGAGAAGGTAGTAGAAAGGATAGGGAAGGTGTTTTGGACTCTAACATATATTCAAATCCTGAAAATTCTTTTTATGGATATATAAAAATGCCAAAACTTATCAAACTATAAACTTTCAATAACTGTAGTTTGTTTACCAACTGCACAATAATAAAGCCGCTCCAGATCTTTAAGATGGTATGTTTCTTTGTACGGAAACTGTCTTCCTTACTACAGATTCCATGCCTTACAGTAGTAAGGCAGGCCACCTACTTGATCAAAAAGAAGAGGCAGAGGAGGTTCTTGACCACTAGGTTTCAACATCTCAGGTGGCTCACCTCCAGGCTCAGATTTCACTTCAGTAGGCTCTGCTGTAATAAGTTTTCCCACTGCAGATTGGCTTGAAGCAGCCTCACCTGCATTAGGCCTGACCGCAAAAGGTTCAGCTGGAGCAGGTTTGGCTTCAAGAGACTGGCCTGTGGCAGATTCAGCTGGTATAGATTGGGCTGCAGCAGGCTCAGCTGAAGCAGGTTTGGCTTCAGCAGAGTGGCCTGCAGCAGATTCAGGTGCAGCCACAGTTTGGTTCTGAGCAGGTTCCGGTGTTCCAGGGTGCGCTTGAGCAAGTTCTGGTGTTCCAGGGCGGGCTTGAGCAGGTTCCTGTGATCCAGGGCGGGTTTGGGCAGGTTCCGGGGGTCCAGGGCGGGCTTGGCCAGGTTCAGCTGTACCAAACTGGGCTGGAACAGATTCAGCTACCCCAAACTGAGGTGAAGAAGGTTCAGGTACAGGAGATTTGGGTTCAGCAGGCTGGGCTGGCCCAAGTCTGACTGGACCAGGCAGGCCTGAAGGAGATTTATCCACAGAGAACTCAGGTACAACAGCCTCAGGTACAACAGGTGCAATAGGGGGTGCAGGGGCCCCAGGAGGCTCAACTGCAACAGGTGGGGCAAAATAAATTTTTGCAGGGATGTTGAAGGGGTATGGCCGGGGAGGAGGAGGAGGAGGAGAAGCTGCAGGAGCATTTGCTGAAGCATCGGAGGGGTAATTAGCACCTTGGTATGGGTAGTGAACTTTAGAAGAGGTACTAATCCAGGGATAGGGAGATAGCCCTCTTTCAGGCTCAGAATTTCCAAACAATTTGGTGATGGCATTCCCTTGGTGACCATCAAAAGTAGGCAATGGAAAAGGTGGCAAATTTTCATTCCAAAAGCCGAAAGGGATATTCAGAGATGGATTAAATGGGTAGCGGTTGCCATAGTAATCCTAAAGTGAAACAAGAAGGTAATTGTGTCTGTTTATACCCCAATCTATATATTACATATAGCTGTGATGATATATGGTAAATAATTTTTAACAAGAATGCCTAGTCTTTTTTAATGCTAATATGCTTCCATAATTTTTGAAATGGAAATAATTCCTTCCTTCCTTCCTTTCTTCCCTCCCTCCCTCCCTTCCTCCCCCCACCCCCTCCGTCTTTGTCTCCCTCTTGGTTTTCTGAAACAGGTTCTCATTATGAACCCGTGGCTGGCCTGGAACTCACTGGGTAGATCAGGCTGGCCTCAAACTGAGAGATACCAGTCTGCCTCTGCCTCCTGAATGTTGAGATTAAAGACCTGGGCCATCAAGCCTGGATGAATTGGAAATAATTTCTTAAGAAAATTAAATTTAATTGAGCTGAAATAGGTCCCGTGTTCGACTCCAAAGGGGAGATGAGAAATAGGTGGTGGGTCAGCACTAGACTGAGAACTATTTGAGACTGATTGCTGCTGGGTGAGGGAGAGTATGGCCACTGGCATTTGCAGGCCTATTCCCTCTAGCCTCACTCCTTCCCATACCTGCTGCTCTTGGTGCCCTCTAAACTGCCCCACTGGAAGCCTTCTCTCCATATGCCCTTTCCAGAGACAGGACTCTTTATGTTTGTCCTTTTTCATCCAAACTTCTATTCTTTGAAGATCATGCACCCTGAATTGTTGTCAGGAAGGCAGGCAGAGGATATGGAGAATGAACTTTATTTTTCACATATAATTTTCCCTGTGATACTTGTGTTTTAAATTAGTCCCTTAATAACATTGCTTATCGATTTATTCTCAAATTTCAAATTCTTTCTTTTGGTAGGACCTCTGCCCAGTCCTCTGGTTGATCTGTCCCATGCTGTAAGACTTCTAGGGAGCTCAGATCACACAATTATAATTTACAGAAAATAAGGATGTTTCTTATTTATGTATACATAAAGTTTTATTTCCTATCATAAATTTGTGACGTTTTCATGAGTAGGCACTCTTGGTTTGCAAATCAGGTTCTTAGACTCTTTGATAGATTTGTATACCTCAAGTATAATTAAAAGAACTTTGAATTTTGATAAATAGCCTTTAAAAAACATGATAAACTATGCTTAAACATTTCTTATATGTTTAGAGTTTGTCAGCTGATGGAGTAATTTTCTTACATGCATTTCAAATTATTTTCTCAATGAGCATAGCCTCATTTTTCATGTTTGTTGGAAAATATTGCCTTCCTTGTCAACAATAATTTCTTTTAATGTCAAATTTTGTAAGATTAGGTTTCATTTTAAACCACTCAATAGAATGAGCAAACAGTATCAATGGACAGGATATCAGTATGGATACAAACATTACATGATGTATAAACATAAGTATGCTTATATTTGCAACTTAAGTGGACCCACCAGAGGAAGAGAAGTGAATGTGTTCCTAACAGTATTCCCTAGTGTTTCAAGGAAAAACATAATAAATATTTAACACTGTTTGATGGCAAATTATATTTTAAAGCAAACAAATAATGAAAATTACATATTGATATATTCAAATATTTATAGATATGAATATATTTTACCTCTTCACTGGACGAGGAAGATTTCTAAAACAACAAAGAAAACAAAGTTTGTTTTAAATTTGATATCACTGAAAGAATAAGTCCTTAGATCTCTGCTTACATTTGGAATGACTGTGACTTGGAATTTTAAGAGCTATAGATGTTTGTCTTTTCTTTTTTCCTATGACTGTGAAAGATCTTTTTAAATAGGATCCTGCTATGTTGCCTTGGGCCTACTTGGTTCTTGATAGGTAGCCCAGGCTGGTTTCAAGCTCCTCCTACTTTGGCTTCCTGAGTTCTGGGATCACAGGCATGCAGCACAGTGAGTGGCTTTCAATAAACATTCTTACAAAGTGGACGTGCAGGGCTAGGGAGATGGCTCAGTCAGTGAAGTGCCTGCTGTGCAAGCATGAGGAGCTGAGTCTGGGTCTTCAGCACCCACTTAGAAGTTAGATGCAGAAGCGTGTGCCTATAATCCCAGTACTGGGGGAAAGTTTGGGTGCGAGATAGGAGGATGCCTGGGGCTTGCTGGTCATCCAGCCTAGCTGAAACCTGAATAAGTAGAAGATCCTGAATCAGTAAGGTAGGGAGTAACTAACAAAGATAACTGGTATTGACCTGTGGCCTCCACATATTCATGTGATACATATGACACACACATACACACGCACTTGCACTCATACAGACACACACCCTACATGAACACGTGAATATATTGCACATGTACACACATACACACACAAAGTGAACCAGGTGGACATGCAATAATTGCAGTGTCCTGCTGGTTCTAGTCTTTCTATACTGTTACTTAAAGGTTTTATTCATAATCTATTTAGGAACCAGGAGACAAATCCTTTTGTTCAATTTTATATCTGCTAGCTTTTTTTAAAATACCAGATACTTGCATTACATTATGTATACTTACTGATGATTAGAATATTAACTCAAAAGAGAATTCAAAATAACATTCAAAACTGTCTCAGTTTTTAGAACCTTTAAAAAGATTCCACTTCTTTGCCATAACTTTTATGGCTTTTAGTAAAAATGTCCACATCCCAGTCCATTTCTCTTGATTTTCTTTGCCATGTTATCTGTCTACAGCATGCTTGTGGTTAGGTACACTTGTAACCCACTTAGCATGCTTTTGCCATCTGCTTTTGAGACAAAAATGACACTGAACTCAAGAAAAATCAAACATTAGTTAATAAGTACTTTTGTCTCCTACAAGGAATAAATTGTTACTTGCTATGCAGAAATCTCCCAACTCCTATACTTGTTTCTAGTATCAAGATAAAATTGAGTCAGGAATAGTGGTAGATGCCTACAGTCCCAACACTGGGGAGGTAAAGGGAGGAGGATTAAGATTTAAGATCTTCCTCAGTCGCTTATTGAGTTCAAAGTCAGCCTGGGCTACATGATCCTTTGTCTAAAAACAAACAGCCCCTCAATGACAACCAGCCAACCAACATACAGACAAAATATACAATGGAATATAGAGCTGCCTGGCATCTAATGCTTTGTTCTGTTCTAATCTCTCATGGAAACAATGCCTCTCTGTTTAATTAATATCACTTAATTTAAGAACAGATTAAGGAATATTATGCATAGTATAATATGAAATAAACACACTTAATATTTCTGGTCACTAGAAATTAAGATTGTTGATAAATATGTTAGCATAAGTATATTTCTATTTCATTTTTGTCATCCAATTTTAGGAGATAAAGCTAATCTTAATAGCAATTTTAATAGCAATTGAAGTCATTATTGTCAAGAAAAGAGAAAAACTTTAAATATAAATTTACTTTAAGGATGAAACAGATGTAGTTTAAGTAAGTAAAAGTGTTACCTTATAAATGAAGGGATAGTGCCTCTACAACAAAGAAAATTACATTTAAATTTGGTTAGTTACTGGTAAATGCCTGTATTCAAATTTTCATATTACTGTAGAATTTGAAAAGCCTTTATAATTTCTTCATTCATCAGTCTGAATGAAGTCTCATTGTCATCAAAATCATCACATACTTTTGGCTAGGAGGTTTATGATGGCTGACTTGGTTTTAGTTTGAACTATTGTGAACGTACATCAATCTTTGTCATAGGAACAACATTCAGCTCTTATTCATAGATGGTATTTTGTTCTTTTACTTCCCAGGTGGTGTGTGTGTGTGTGTGTCTGTGTGTGTGTGTGTGTGTCTGTGTGTGTGTGAGAGAGAGAGAGAGAGTAGGGGACCAACTAGATAGGCAGCCCAGAATGGTATGTGTGTAGATGTGTCTAGATGTGTATGGTGAGGTATGTATGTATATGTGAGTGGTGTGTGTTTTTCTCTTGCACTTCTTGACAGATATATATCCTTTTTAAAAAATATCCTTGTTTTTTAATGACACTTTGCTATATCTTATAAATTCACCATGAATCGGGAACCAGAGAATAAGAGAATAAAAACTGTAGTAAACTCAGCATATACTATATGAAGAATCAGACATTAATTCAGGTAATTTTAGAAGACAAAATAGTATTTTGAAGTTTGGCCAAGGTGATAATAGTAACAATGAAAAATATGAAGTAATGGGGGCTGGATAGTTCAGTGGTTAAGAGTACTCTCTGTTCTTGCAGAGGACCCAGGTTCAGTTCCCAGCACTCATATGACGGCTAACAACTGTCTGTAACTCCAGAACAGACACCCACTTCTGATCTCCACTGGCATTGCATGATACAGGTATACTTGTATACACACAGGCATAACACTTATACACATAAAATTAAATATATATATATATATATATGTAAATATAATCTCAGGTAGTTTGAGTTCCTACTATATCCTAGACACTCTGCTAAGCACTTTAAGTATCATCTGTTTGGTACTGAAAGTATTATTTGGGATTAGGTGTTACTGCTTTCTCAAAGAGAAAATTTAGCACATGAATTGGTTAGGATTAAGAATTTGCCCTCTGGCCACATATTGTGGTACAAACCTTTAAGCCCAGCACTCCACTTGGGAGGGAGGGGCAGGTAGGTTGAGGCCAAAGTGATCTACATGTTGAGTTCCAGGCCATCCATAGCTAGAAAGTGAGACTTTTTTTTTTTTTTTTTTTTAATGCTCTCGGAGTTTAATGCTCTCTAGAGCTCTGTGTACTCTCACATTACACTGAGGGTCACTAAGTCCATTGACTTGTGCTGGTGGAGCATTCTTTGGGCTCTGCATAGATATCTCAGCAGTGGACTTCACTGCTAGAGAAACCTTATGAATTCTATCTACATGGGATTCTAATTCTCTGTAGTACTTTCTTTTTCCAGCTCCCTGTTTTTGAACTTCTTTTCCTTCCTGTTGATCTGATCCATGTTTTACAACTATATTATTTTGCCTTTAAAATTTCCTTTGAATGAGGCCTGGAGAGATGACCCAGCAGTTAAGGGCTTTGGTTACTCCTGGCAGAGGACCTGGGTTTGGTTCCCAGCACCCACATAGCAGCTAACAGAAGTCTGTAACTTCAGTTCCAGGGGATCTGACACCCTCTTTTGGCTTCTGTAGGCACTGTAGATGCATAGGTGCACTACATACATTCAGACAAGACACTCATTCACTTAAAATAAACTTTAAAAAATTTCCTTTGAAGATTATGACATAACCAACTTCATGCCCATAACATGTTTCTCTAATACATTTTTATAAAATTTTACCTTTAGCATGAACTTGTTAGCATTATTTGATATTTATACCCATTGCTACAGTTTTTGAAAGTCCAATTACTTACCTTCCTTGCAAAAGCGACACATATGACACAGGCCCAAAGAAGTAGCTTCATTTTGATTGACCCTGTGAACATGAATATTAAAAATTGTTTTTTTCCATAAAATATTCAATATTTTTTTTTTGTTAGAGAGAAGCAGAGATGAATAAATTCGCTAGTCTGACTAGGAAGACTCTTCACAGATTTGGTCCCTCTATTTAACCCGTGTTAAAGTGTGACATTACAGACACTTCTTTTTTTTGCCTTTTCTTTCCAGTAATTAATCAAGTTCTAACTAAATTGTCTTTTCATGGAAGTCAACCCACTTTGTTATTCAAGAACCTGTTTTGCAATTAATTTGTTTTGGAGGGTTTACCAGGAAATAGACCTGCTTTAAGTAGTCATACTGTGGGCGTCTTACTGAAAGTTTGCTTTCATGGATTCAGTAGGAAATTTGTACCATCTACTTGGAAAAATTTCTCAACCTAAACATTTTGCCAGCATACCCTGTGGCATATTAGGCTTTTAACTGACCCCAAATTCTCTCTTAAGAATAAAAGGTTACTCATATGTTTAGGTAAGTTTCTTGGTTACATTCAGTTTTCTTCAGAGAACAACAACAGATCTCTAATTGCTTGACAATTAGTTATAGCTTTTCCCTTCTTCAAATCATGAAACATTTCCATTCTTACAAAAAATGTGCACACAAGGAAAAGTATTACGGCATCATAAAGGCTTAAAAAATGTGAAAAACACAAGTAATTGATGCTTTAAGAGGTTTGTGATCTAAATAAATTTAAATGTTAAATATTTCTAAGATAAACAATGATATGCACCTATTTCTGGTTATCTAATGGCTGTTTTTATAATTACCTCCATAATTTTATTTTCAGTAGATTGTAATTTTTGTGAAGGATATATTTTCATCCTACATGTACCTTTTTTTTAATAATATGAGGAAACTTTAATTTTTGATGAAAATGTGAATGTCTAGGTTGCAGGACTAGTAAGATAGTTTAGCAGTTAAGACCACTGGATGCTCTTGCAGAGGACCTGGATTTGATTCCCAGTACCTACATGGTGACTAACAACCATCTGTAGCTCCAATTCTAGGGGCTCTATCACCCTCTTCTGGCCTCTGCAGGCTTTTCACACACTGATAAATTTAAATCATGCAGGCCAAACACTGATCCACATAACAAAAATACCTGTGTTGTAGAAGTAAGTTTATAGAAGAAGGCCTGGAAGAAATATACTTAAGCATCTTATTTTTCAGCTCCTGCTTAGCTGCTTACCTATTCAGAATGGTTTGAGGCACTTATTGAATGGTCTCTGAAATGCTCTTTTGTGTAGCACACCAGGTGTTTACTGAGACAATTTAAGAAAAAAATATTTGTTCTTCTGTTTTAAAATTATAAATATATATGAATAGTATTAGCGAATCCTGGGAAAATTCTAGTAGCTTGGAGTTTCATGAGTTATTTATTTGCTATTCATTCATTTATGTGTGTATGTGTGTCATGACATTCATGTGGAGGTCAGAAGATAACCTTTGGGAGTTTGTTCTCTCCTTCCACCATGTGGATCTCAGGGATCAAACTGAGGCTTGACCTAAATTGCCTTTTGCCACTTAGCCATCTTTCCAGGCCCAATTTAGTCTTAGAGAGGTGGAAATTTGTAACTTTTTGTGTTGCATTAACTTTGTTCTTCACTGGGAAGAGCAAATTCCAGAATCCATTGTACTCACATGGGTACCCTATGGGGTGGGTGGAGGTTCATTTTGAGATGTTTCCTTCATTTCTGATTTTAACTTATTTCCTCTCATCCTATTTTCTCTCTTACCAAAATAATCATATCTACTTTTGTTAGCCAATCATATCTACTTTTGTTATCTACTTTTGTTAGCCAATACATTGCAAACAAATAGAAAAAGTAATAAAAAGTTAAGTGGATCTTCTTGAAAGTATAACATGATTTATCATTTCAAAATTTCCCTGTGGTGCATCATAGAATAGCTCTATATATTCATAAAATATTCATCCTGAACACTTGTACACATGAGTACCACTAAGTGGACTCAATACATACATACATACATATGCACATATATATGTGTATGTTTATAAATGTATGTGTGCATATGTAATAATTATAGTCAAAGAAGAGGTCAAGTAATTGGTAGGGAGTGAGTGGTGGGAACATGAGAAGATTTGAAGGGATATTGGGAGGTGTAGAAATGATGCAAACAAAATACTCAAGTATGACATTCTCAAAAAATATAAAATAAAATCAATAAATTTTAATTGATTAAAAATATTTATGTATATTTAAGTGTTTGTGTGAGTATATGCATGTACATGTGGGGTGGAGGCCAGAAGAAGGCATCGGATCTCCTGGATCTTTAGATAAAGGTGGCTGTGAGCCACCTGACCTGGGTGTTGGAAATGGAACTGGAACCCTCTGGAAGAGCAGTATATGTTCCTAACTGCTGAACCATCTCTCTAGCCCAAATGTCTATAATTCATCCTTCAAGCTCACCGTGTGATTATTTTGAAAGAAGCTGACAACTCACTGAAAAACGTTTATGAACTAATGATTAGTCACACAAGTTACCTTATGTGATGATCTTTCAAAACTATCACTTTTATCCCTAACTGGATATCTGACAAAAGATTTTATCAGCTATTGCCAGCCTATTGTATGGTGCTGTCTGAGTAAGTTAGGTATTCATCTTCCTTACTCTGTTATTCTTTTGGAAGCGTATTAATTTGGTCACATACAATAGCCCCAACCTAGAACTAGATCTGCATTTTGTCTCAGTATGATAAAATTCAATGAAGCTCTAATGAATTGGAAATTCCAGTAAAGATCTAGTATTCTTCATAAAGAATATACAGAAGTGTTTATTCCTGGCAGAATAATTAATAGCTAATGAATAAAAATATTATATTGGAATCTTTAAAAAAATCCCCTCAGAAATGAAATAATCCAAGATGTGTTAATATTTAAAAATCTTCTGACAGTCTCTTGTCTCACAGTTCTCAATATATCTGTACATATAACTTGTGATTTAGTTTTTTAGAATGCTCCAGAAACAAACCTTTATTTTCAAATAACATAATCATTGTATCCTATTTTCTTATTTTTTAAATCAGTTTTTTTTATGAAAGAGGGCTTGATTCTATTCAGTTATTATCAAAGGTATGAAAAATCCAAATAGATGAACTTTTATACCAATGCCTGAGTAGGCTTGGATTTAGAAGGTCCAGATCAGGACAAGAAGAGAATGTGAATTCATCATGTGTTTGTAGTCCTACTAGTAAGGTCTATCTCTCTGAGATCAAGTGAGAATCTTATGAAATCAAGAGCTTTTAGCATAGAAAATGGATACTTTGTTTCCTGAGTAGAAAGCAATGGTCAGAGGTTCTGGTCCTGATCTGAGTAATCTGCCTCACTCCTTTTCCTATAGAGATATTTACAAGAAAAGTCCTTACGCACAATTGGCCAACATGCAGAGAACAAGAAGCTGCAGAGTGCTCATCCCTGAATAGGACATCTGTTTCAAACCTCTGCCTTCCAGGGCTCAGGGATCATTGTGGAAGAGGAGATGGAAAGATTTTAAGAGCTGGAGGGGTGGATAACCACAAGGAAACAGAGTCTTGCAGACAGCTTGTAGGTTACTCATATGAACTCACAGCAGTGGTGACAGCATGTACAAGTCCTGTGCAAGCTCAAACCAGACAAAATTCCAGCATAGACATGGGGAAGTGGGTAAGAAATACCAATGCAGCCTAAGGAAATTTTGGCAATTGATGATTGCTAGGAGGGAGGGAGAGAGTGTGTCTTACAGGGATGGGACTCTTGGTGGGCCTAGTGCATGGACCCACATTGAAGGGCATTTGGGGACAGAGAGAGAAAGGGAGAGAGAACATTAAATTGGGTGGGGGCAGTGGGGAAAGGTATGGATAGGGAAGGAGATCTAAATACCATGAACTATATTGTATGAAAATTACAAAAGTTCAATAAAATTATCTTAAAAAAGAGTCCCCAATTCTAACTTTATTCTTCTATTTGAAATAAATTAGTATCAAATCTGAAAAGGAAAAGGTGTCAATTTGGCTTTGAATAACTTTCCTTATGCCAAGGAGCTAGGAGATGTGGGAAGTTACTTCTACAACATGAAAATAAAAGACACATTTATGAACCACTTGAGGCTTAATCTTAATTGCAATTTGGAAATATTCACTATGTATTTTTCAGTATTATGTGTTTGTCACAGAAAGCACAATAAGGAACTTCATGCCTTACTTCAACTTATGCTAATTAATATTAAAACTTTTTTTAAAACAATGTGATTATTTGGTATTTGTGTTGTAAATGTGAATTGTGTAGATTTCACAGTAGGCTAAGACACTTACTTTTCTCCCCCAGTAGCCTGCATAGAACCTTCCAGTCTTATGAAAGCAAGCCAGCAGGGAGGAAGTTTCCCAGTCAGTGCCAACTTGCTTTACCCATATTCTGAGACCAAAATGTGTGGTGTGTTCAGAAATAGAGTCTTATCAATAAATTATGGTGGGCAACTAAGAGAAATGACAGTAACTTGTATTGTTTTGAGGTCTTTGGGATACTCCTGACCAACAATTCATGGGGAGGTATTCCATACCTGGAATTGGGCTTTTTATTTGGCAACTTTTGGTTTCTGAGAGAAGCATTATCCCCTGTGTAACTCTAATTAAACTTGTATATATATATATATATCTTATATAATATGTTTCCATATGGATTTTGTTCAAATATCCTTAGCACTGATTATCCCCTGACTCCTTTCCACACCCACTCATCCCTTTCTCCACTTAAGCCAAACTCCTCATTATTCCCCCATCCACTTCATATCACCTGTGTTTTACTATACCACCTCCCATATGTTCTTTTTACCCTGTCACTACCCAAGGGTCCCTTTTTAATTTCCTAGATTCTATAGGTACTCCAAGTTAGACCAATCTAATAATGACCTATGTGGCAATATATGCCCAAGGATGCAATATTGGCAAGAATGTAACAGGGGAAACTAACCA